CAGCCTCAAGAGCGCCGCCAGGCCCAAACGATAATGCCGTTTGGGCCTGCCCGTCGGGTACTGGTCCAAGATCAGGCCCTGAGGGCCTGTAATACCCCAAGGTCGGGCCTTTAGGCCCCGATGTGTCCCTCCGGCCCTAAGTCGGGTCTGGTAGGACCTGTGTGCGTCGAAGATGTAACACCTGTGAAGTTTGCCAACGAGATAAGCATCGCACTCAGGCACCTCTTAGGCTGCTCAAGCCTGTAACGGTTCCGATTTTGGAAAGTCCAGGTGAGAGCTTGTCCATGGACTTCATGGATACGCTGGTCACCAACAAGAGTGGAATGCGGTATGTCTACGTCATCGTGGATAGATTTAGTAAGTATGCTAGGTTAGTGGCTATGCCTGAAACAGCGAAGACAAAGTACTTGATCCGACTGTTCAAGGAGAACTGGGTCAGAGACTTTGGCCTGCCAAAGTCCATTGTCAGTGACAGGGATGTCCGTTTCACTAGTGACCTGTGGAAGACTGCTGCTGCTGAGCAAGGCACACAGCTGCAGATGACCTCCAGGAATCATCCCGAGGCCAACGGACAGGCTGAGCAAATGAACCGTGCTGTACAGCACCTGTTGAGGCATTACATCAACCCCCACCAGGTGGACTGGGATGAGAAGCTTGCTCTCGTCACCAGTCTGTACAACAATGCAATTCACAGCGCAACAGGTGTCGGTCCCAACAGTCTTCTACTAACCTTCAAGCCTAGACTTCCCCTAGACTTCCTACTGCCCGAGAATCAGTCAACTGCTGCACCAGGCACACTGGAATTCGCCTACGGGTATGAGAAGCACATGCAGCAGGCTGTAGACAACATGCACAAGGCACAGGCGGCGATGATAGAATCTGAGAACAAACACCGCTGCCCGTCTAATTTTCAGGTAGGCGAGAGAGACTGGGTAAAGGCTTCTGAGCTGGGGCAGGAGTACAGGATCTCCCGCAAACTCATGCCACAGTACTTTGGGGCTTGGGAGATTCTGGATATTGTCGGAACTGATCCCGATGGTCCTTCGTATGTGGTGAGAATCCCTGGTCACCTCCGCACTTACCCTGTTTTTCATGCCTCCAAGCTTGCACCTTTCAAGGAAACTGATCAGTTTCCTCCGCACAGATCAATGCTGCCCCCAACCATGGATGGAGAGGTCGACATCGACGACATCGTGGACCACAGAGAGATGCCAGTACAGAGACCAACAGGCATGGGACGTCCTCCGAAGCCGAAGCTGCAATACAGAGTTTGGTTCAGACATCACGCAGATCCAAAGGAGGACAGATGGTTCACGAGGGAAGAGTTGATGCAGACTGCGCCGCAGGTGGTATCTCAATATGAGAAGTCCTTGCAGAAAGGAAAGCGCCAGATTGAGTGAGACTTCTGAGAGGACTATCGAAGTATGGAGGAGGGAATGCGAGGCCACAGCCCCTCAGCTGTCAGATCGAGCCCGCCCTAAGTGAAGGCGGGCCTCGAATTGTCACAAGGCCGTGCACTTGTCAATTTTGCTAATCTTTGTCGGCGTCAGACAGTTACGCCACGCCAGTTGGTTAAGTCGAGCACCGCAGGCCCCAGGCCGCGTGTCGACAGTGGGTCCACCCCGGACAGTTTGACATACGCAACCAGATCTTTCCCGGTCCCGGGAATCTTAGAGGGCCTGGGATACCGACAAGGGGTCCGAGATTGAGATGGGAATGCAACCGGGAAAAGCGCGTGCAGCCGGCAGTGCACTGGGATATAGGAGCCGTGGGTGAGCAATTCGGGGCCGGTCACTTGCGTGCACTTGCGGTAGCGCTGCTGCTTTATGCTGCGAGCGTGGGTGCTGGAAGCTCTGCGGTAGAGCGGGACTGCATGGGCGGCCATAGCCGGGCTGCTAGCACTAGAAGCRGGGTGTAGCGCAGGGGGTTCTTGGGTGCAGTGGCATCTGTGTTGGGGATCGAGGACGTGAGGGTAGTGTGTACATACCTGGTGCTTGAGGCGACGGCSAMGAGGCCGAGATCAGCTCGTACTTCAGGAAGCTGTTGACGTTATCTCGCTGCTCATATGTAGGACAAATAGGATCTGCCTTTGGTAGTCTGGGCGCTGTGCGCCAGATGGGGGAAAAGACTTGGTTCGTTGATGATGATGAGGAGACTATTCCGACGTTGTCATTCATGAGCTTTTGTGTTACTCTTATTTGGTGTGTTTCGAGTTGCAATTCTGCTATTGGTTCGAGGTCAAGATTATCTTCTCACTTGTGTATGATGCGGCTTGCTTTTCGGAATTCGCTACCACTCATTTTCCTTGCACTTTCAAGACACAGTGGGACTTTCTTGCATTCAATGTGATTGTGTGATTTGGTTTCTGTCATGATCTCGCTATCGCTCAAATTCCTTGCATATTCCTCAGTGACACGCCTTGCCCATACCCCTGATGTGGCCGGTACCGCAAAACCGGCCAGAACACGTGTTGGGTTCTTGCCAGCCATTGTCTATACCTGTGTTACAGTATCTATTCCTCATGCCTTGCGCATGCCCGTGATGGGTCAGCACTGGCGAAGCAGTGGAAACACGTGTCAGCTTCTCGCCAGCCGCTGTCTATGGTGCTTTGTGCCTCATATGCAATTTTTGGATCTATCATTGACTATCATTTAAAAAAAAAAAAATTAAAATATATATATGTTTTTTAACCAGGCCCCCCACTCGGAGAAGTGATTGGATCTATCATTGAATATCTTGCAAGCTGAATTGGGACGGGGGGTTACTTGCATCTTGCCTTSTTCTTCCTCGCTCCCTCCCTCCTTCCCTCCATCTTTTCCTTGTCATCTGTGCATGATGCTTTGTGTATGACACTGTGTGTTACTATGTTGAGATTGGTGTGATGTGTCTTGCCTTTCGCACCAGGCAGGCATCTTGTGTGGTCGCTGATGAAATTTGAATATCCACTTCTGATGCTCATGTTTAGAACCGATTCAACAGAATCAACAAATCCAAACATCGGATCTGATCGTCAGCCGATGCGCACCTGGTGATC